GCCAAGGGTGCTAGAGGGCCAGAAAGGTCCAAATGTGAAAAATGTATTCCCAATTACCTAAAGCCAGAGGATATCAGGAAACTGGGCATAAAAAGCCAAGGGCAGCAAGGTCCACAGTGCAGGGATAGGCATGCAGGAAGCTGGCTGAGCACTTCCCACCCCCACTTCTGCTACTGGAAAAGAATGGTTTGAATGATTTGTTTTCAGTTTCTGTTAACCAGAACTTTCGAAGCTAAAACTTGCAGCTCTTTCTACAATTACATAATTTGATGAAAATAGGCCAACCTATTTACAACCACTATACTTCACCCCGACAAGTTACTTAGGGGAACTACTGAGAGAACAAGTAAACTGGTAAAACATCAGCCATATATTTGCCATACAGTTGGCAGAAAGTGAGTAGAACAGATTTTAACAGTTTAATTTGGAAAGAAAATGAGACATTCAGGAAGCCTGGAGGACCTGGTCATGCAAGGAGGTCAAAGGACTTTTTAAGCAACTCGCTTCTTTCCCATTGGAAATGGATAAGAAGTTCATAAGCTTCTGATCTTTGGAATAGTCCCTCACACAAAAGGAAAGATGATTTCAAAGAATAGGGGCTAGATTACACAGTTATAGATCACAGGCATATTTAATAGGTCAGAGGGCCTTGAAAGATTAAAACATCGCTATCTGTAGAATAATGGCTTCTTCAGATAGCTATGCCAAGACATCATCATTAAGTAGAGTTTGTCAAGTCCTAAAACCTCAAAAAGCATTTGTGGAGTGCTGGATGGGGCTTTGAAATCCATCTCACATTCTTCTTTATTACGCCAACTTGCCCTTAAAGCTTAACGTATTACATCAAAGAGACACAAGGGAATTAACAAAACCTGACATGGCAGTTACAGATTACCATTCAATTACTACAGTGAGCATGTGTTTAGCCACCAGCTCTCTAGTGACAACTTGCACAAAAGAGAAAAGGGAGACAGCACACCAAACCACCTGCTCATCATTCTGACAGGACCTTCTGGAGTGCTTTTTAAAAAGATCTACATATATTTCCATGGTACAATGAAAATTAAAAAAACCATAAGCCTCAAAGCAACCTGTAGGCAAAGGTATCTGTATTCCCTTTCACAGGTACAGAGACTAGGAGTCCAATACGATCTGTTGTCATGAAGGACTGCTGGCCTGAACTGGCAGGCTGTCCATGTTGCTGCACTCGTGCAATCAGGCATCTATGATTGCTTATTCTGGAAATTCTGAATAAGAAGACAGGGAAAAAACAAACAGCAACAAAGAGCAACAGGCACACCACCACAGTGCAAAGAGAAGGCAGAACAGCTGAGGCACAAACTCAAATGGGTGAAAAAAGGTCCAATTTATCTTCCAAAATCTCAGTTGCCTTTTCTCAGGTCACTGACTTACACCACACATCATTGTTCCGGAACATAAGCGGTTTCTGGTGCTTTGAAGGGACACAGAAAGTACCTGGATTCCAGCCCTGTTTCATGCTCTCTTTCTGTATCCTGTCACTAAGTAGCTGAAGATGACTTCAATCATACCGCAGAACTGACTTCCTGCCTTGGATCAGTACAAAACATTTCATGATTAGGCTTTTGGAGCTTGGAAGATTCTCATCACTACCAACCTTACTGACTGGCACCTTTAAGTACTACTGTATAAAGATGCCTCAATTTATTTTACAGCAAAAGTTTCCACACTCGTGTGAACTGAACTCCAAGCAATCCACACTGCCAGTTCACTCACAAAACCAGGGAAAACTATTTCACATCCAAAGAGAACTGGAATCACAAGAACTGAGGGCAGAGAGAAAGAATCCAAGGTTGGGGGGAGACTGTTAAAAACAAAAATGATACCCAGAGCAGCAGTGCAGACTGCTCTGTTTAGAGATGCAAGAATATATATTTTTTAAATAGGGAGCCCATAGCCATGAAAATGCAACCAAAGACTCCAAAGTAGAGACACAGTCTACGACAGCAAGTATGTCATTTGTGGTTCTCTATTTTGGCAAAAAGACTTCACCTCAAAATGTATATTTAAGTCTTGTCCATAAGACTATTTCAAAAAGCAATGAATGTTCCAAATCCTACCTCTAGACACAGGTACTCATTTATCATACTTATATAGCAACTTAAGCTTCCTAAAGCATTTCACAATCACATGCTTGCAGTACCCTACAATTTCAAGCACTGCTAGCATGTCTTCCGTAATAATCCGAGCACAGGATATCACCCAGCAGTTACAAAAAGGAACCCGTGGTCAGGTCAAGGGAACAACCAGCCAGATAATGCCCAGTTTTTTAAAAGAGAAGCTAAGTAGCATTGTAGTATAGCTCAGAAATCATATGTTTGTTCCCGCAGTTGCACTGCTTGAGAGAGAGAGAGCAGATAAACAAATTCCCCAAATTATACACATTTTGGCTGAATTCAAACAGCACTGACAGCCTAATACTGTTAACAACTCTCCCATTCACTCAGGCAGCACAGAACTGTGTGATGAACCCAGAGGCCCCAAATCTGCTGGCGTTACCAGTGGGTATCAATACAGTGCTTTGAGCTGAAAATTTTTTCTCACTCCATGTCTTTCTGAAAAGCTGTTGCTACCCACACCAGCTACACTGAAAGATCATGAAGGCTGAGAAGTCAATCACCAAAAAGCCCATGCAACATTATTTGGGCAGGCATTATGATTCACTCCAACTCCCTCAGACTGCATTCAAGGGAGTCAGCCCCTGGGTCAGAGTGCCTTACCCACATTCTACATGTCTGCAGAGAAACAAAATCCTGCATACAAACTGATTCACTATACAGTTCTAAATACATCCCAGAACTGATTCAGCTCATGTACTGAATGATCCAGAAGAGAGGATTAACAAAAACATCATGTGATGAAATACTGTTACTGTTATTACCGTGCATATTCACCAGCAGAGTGAACAGAGTGTTTAAGGCCTTAATTTTGGCATTTCCCCATTTTCTGTTATCTGCCTTTGCAATCTCAATAGATCCACTGTAGCTGATCCACATATAAATGTGCAATCTATTTATGTATTACGTGTCTGTAAGATATTTGCTCTGCTCTGAGCTACCTTATGTGCCTAAGTTCAGAGCGCGTCAGGAAAACAGAAGTTAAGGGCAAAAGCTCCTTATACAGTAAGGGGAGAAAAATAAGCATCTCCAGGAGGAACTGATTTAATAGACGTTGGACAATGACCTAAAGTGAACATTGTGAAAACCTCCCTACAGCAGTCAGCTCTTCTAACTATTCTAAATATATGTATCTTCCACAAATAAGCCAAAGGTCTGCTTAATTCATACAGATATGTTTGACACAGAGAAAAGAAAGAAACAGATGGCCAGTGTTCATGCAGGTCTGGTTGTGCAGAACGGTACACAGCGTGTACATAATGAAGCAGTGTGTGAAAGGGAGATAAACAGGGATTCATCCAGAAAAAAAGGAAACAATGGATATCATACAAGAAGTTTATAATGGGCGATTGAGCCTGAGTCCTCAGTACTGAGTGATACTGGTCACACGTGTGGCCAAAGAAACCATGCTGACAAGAATAGCTGCAGTCAGTCTGCATTAGCCAGGAGCCAGTTTCAGAACATACGGCAAAACAAATGATTCAAGGCAATCTGCTCGTTCTGCTGCTTCCCCCAAATATTGCTGTAGTAACATCCTCTGCTTTTTGCCTTACCACATAATGTTACTATTTCAGAGCATGGAAAACACCTGCACGGATGACAGAGGCCTACGGAATTACTAGCACCATAAGCTGTTGTTGGGGAGATTCTCATACTCTTTGTATAGATCAGCTTGAAAAGTTTGCACATATCTTGCTCCTTGCTTGTGAGAAAGGAAGGCAAAGCTGGCAGGACTGTCTTTCTTGCTCATTTTCGTATCTCCCAGCTGTTCACAAAGTTAGGCAAAAAAGCATGCATTCTCCCAGTGCATCTCTGGATTCTATACCAGGCACCCCAAATCACAGCCAGCATCACTGTCGTTAGCTCTCAGAGCATCCTGACAAGGACATACTTGTTTTACCATTTAAACCCCAAAAGATCTGCTTTCAGACCTCTGATTTCCCAAGCTAAAAATCTCAGCATGCAATGGATGGTTTGGGCTTTTTGTAGTAAAAATATTTTCCTTATACAGATACGCCTCTAGAAATGAAAAAACAAGCACACTGGCACACAGTGTCATCTGAGACGTCAGTGTTGCCATCATTTGTCTAGGATAAGTCTTACCACATTTACCATTTTAAAAGCCACAGATTTCCTGCAGAACCAAGCTGGACTGACTATTAAAAAAACTCCAGTCCACTGACTTTTAAATGAATGTGTGCCTACCTGTTTAGGTTTGTTCTGTAAAGCCCAGGATTTAGAAACGAATCTAACAGTTCCTGGGGAACTTAATCAACTTAATTCAGATTGCTCTTTTTCATCAAGGTTCTTGTCCTGGTTCTTCCAGTTACCTGCTGAGCAATCTTGTCTCCCTTCTCTGTGCTCTTTCTTCTTTTTTATGTCTGCCTTTCTTATCCAGTCACTGCTTGGGTCACTGTACCCTCAACCCTTTGAAGCTCTAAACACACAGTTTGACATATTAGAAGTTGCCCCGCTAAAAAGTGTGACGCTTCTCAAGAGCACATTGATACACACAGTAGTACAACATATAAAATAAAAGACATAAATATTACAGCAGATCACCCTGTCTGGAACCATAATGGATACAACACAGCTATTACATGCAATTCATGTGTTTGAATACATTTGACACTGAAAAAACCTCTTTGAATCACCTGTAATATTTTGCTTGAAAGATGAAATTCCATGCAGGAGACACAATAAAATCACCAAGAGCTGATTACTTACCTGCTTCTATTACAACTACACACTACTCTTCATCTCCAGACACTTCCATTGCCAGCTCCTGATGCATTTGTTACCTAGAGATAAGTCAGAAGTTGCATCCTACAGGGCATACAGTACCATGTCACAGTGCAGCTCCAAATTTAAGTCTCCTTTGTTAGTGTGAAGTCGTACATAGCCCTTCTTCTTCACATACTGGTATCTTACAACATCATCTTCAATAGCAGCTGTAACAAAGCAAAAAAGCAGTACATAGATCTCTAGAATTTTATTCGTTGATCAGCAAACAAATTACTAGATTCTGCTGTCTGGCTTGTTCCTCCAGAGTACGCCAGGTCTTCAGGGACAGAACTTGGCAATTTATCTCTGATAGCCCCACATTAACCTCTTTGAACAAAACGCTTTGTACTACAGAAAGCCAACTCCTTGAGAGCCAACAATATAATATAGATATTGTATATCTATATTTCTAAATCACAGGAACATTCAATGTTATATACTATAATTTTCAAGTAATGTCTACCAATCACAAACATTACTTTCAAATGAAATAAATTCTTACTAAATTTGGAAGTTAAACAGGTTGTCATCAGCCAACCACAAACTGCTGACATACGAGGATCTCTACAGTTCTGAAAACAAATGAAGCCAAACTGCTGGAAACATTACCAGAAAGTCAAACCAAGGGATCAATCTAGAATATTTCCACTTCTATTGTGTTGAAACATCCAGTTAGTCAAACACTTTCAGTGCTCAAAGATTCACGTGTAAATCACTGTAATTCAGGAACAGAACCTAGTAACCACGTCACCTCAGTACTGCGTTCAATCTTTGTCCAGAACTTGTACATTTAAGAGCCAAAGGCCAGACATCTCTCCATACAGACACGCTAACTGCTCAGCTATTTAATCAATGTTCACATTTAGTAAGGCCTACAAATTTATACTGAAGCTAGAAAATGAAAATCTTCATATTATTGAAATGTACTTTTGGATAGAGTATAACTTTGAAAAGCAGTAAATCACAAGTCGTCATCAAACAAATTGCTGTTAATCTAACCCAACTAGGTTAGACCAAAAGGGTGGTAAAGATTTTCTTGCAATACAAAGACAGATTGCACTTCACAACTAACTTACGAAAGCAGATACCCCATTTTGTGGGTCCCAGGCATAAAAACACATCAAACTGAAATTAATGCTGTCAGTAACTGCCATTCAGAGATTAATTCATAATTGCTCCATTATTTCCAGAATGAGATCACTGGAAATACATATATATCTGCTTGAGGGATACATTTGCAAGGCATCATCACTGAACACTTAGCAACGCATTCCTTATCCCAGGGGAAGTGCATGTCCAAAGGAGCACACCTTAAAGCTGCAAGGTAAGCAAACAGCTCTAAGGACAGAGTTCTGGTACCTGCTTCATGGGTAGTTTCAGGTACCATCGCAGTGGAGGTGAAGGAGGCACTTACTGCTCCAGTAGAATAATGAGCCTGTTTGCAGAAGAAAAAGCAAGGGAAAAGACATTAGATCTTAGAATTTATCTATTTTAAACGCCATTTAAGTTCTGCATACTGTACAAGCAGTACAAACACAAAAAAAGCATTTACATCATACTTCTGAAGACAGACTTCCTGCTCTAGCTCCTATAGAAAGGGACACACACGTGATGCAGTGGTATTTCTCCATCTGTTCCCTATAACATTTCTCCTCCAGTTAAGGCTGCCCAGGCACTGAGCTGATGGGGTTTATTCCTTCCACAGTAATTTATTACATTATTACCCAAAGATTTTATTGTCAGAATTTACTTGTTTGTCCACAGGAGGAGATATGAAAGGAGTACTGCTGGCAAGACACCGGTAAAATTCTGCAACATTGCTGAGTGGAAGGAAAATCCAGTGAACCACAGAGACAAACCAACCCCTCACATCCATTGGCCCTTCCTGTCCCATGGCTCTGATTTAAGCTTCATAACTCTGTTGCAGAAAGGAAACGTGAGCATCACACACGGATGTTAGAGTAAATTAGAAAGACTAAGAAACAAAGAGGTACTTTCAGTGATGCTGGGGCAACGCTGAGAGAATATAGAACAATGCTCTGTCCATCAGGTTATGCTGCCTACTATGCAAGTTCATAATTAGCTCATTTACATGATGATCTGATTCTCCAAGCAGAGTTCATCATTATCTCTTACCCCTTTTTTTCTTCTCTAAATCTTTAACTTTTCTATAATGCTATGACACTCTAAAAATGGGACACATATGATACATCATATATATTCATTAAGAAGCTACCTCCAAGCCTCCTCATATAAGGCCATATGCTGCATTACTACTCTTTTTTGTCTAAGTATAGTCAAAGCATGAAGACACAGACATCCCAGAATTATAAAAGGAAAGAAAAATACTCTGCCTGGCTGGAGGAAATCTACATGCAGATGAACGTTCCTTTGGATAACCATGAACATACAGCAACATGCACCTGGAAGAACTTCCTTTAAATATTCCACAGAAAATCCTGCATTACAGTGGAAAAAATGGGGAAGCAACTAAAGTTGATTTATGTATTTGCCCACACCAGAAATGACTCACTTGTACTGCCCTTAAGGTGTGTTCCTTCTGCCAGTAACTGCAGGAAGCAATGATAAACAAATTCAAAGCAGGAGATTGCAAACTGGGAAAAAAAGATTTTCCCAGCACATATGTCATGACCACATAAGAAAGATTCCTCCTCCTTGCTCTATTTCTAAAGTGTTTAGGTTCATTCATAATGAGGCAACAAAGAAATTCACTGACACACACAATATATTCCCATGGAATCTCAGTATGATTTTCATATTCTCAACTATGATAAACTTCCATGTAACTGAAAACACAAGGGATGGTATCTGTTTATCCTGCAATATTCTTTCTTCAAGAACTATACTGGTGCCAAAGTACAAATTGCATCAACTTACAGCATTCAGCTTATCCACTTTCTTCTTTTCAGGAGCCTTCATAGTGGCTGCTAGAATCTCATCACCTTTGAATTCCTTATAAAGCTCCAGCAAAGTCTCTCGGGTCTCTGTATTTGTATTTTTCAAGTAATAAGATGGATCCAATTTTGCTTTTTCTTCATCTAGATAAGACAAAGTTAAATTCCAAATTAAATTAAAATACATTCCAAATTAAAAGAAAAACTCTGTTGTTGTCATTCAGCTTACTACATTCCTTGTTACACCAATATGTTCCAGATATTTCTACTTCTTTAAAAAAGCGTAGTGACTACATCTATTCCTGCAGAAGCAATAACAAGTAGCAATGCGTAACACTAAAGACAAGGTAACCTGAAATATGACACAATTAATGCTGATATGACTGTGTATAAGAAGAATCAACGTCAAATCAATCGCTGCAGAAATCTCTTTGAAACCACTAGAAATGATCCAAGTTCACGCAGGTCTCATCAAGTTACTTCTACAGGACGATAAAGACAACGGCCTGCTGGGTACAGCATCAAACCCTGCCCCTTGGCCACTGAACGACCAGGTCTGCAATGCAAAACTCCCAGATCAGATCTTTACTGTGGCACCAGGAGGAGGAAGCTGATGGGGTAGACTGGAGAATTTCTTTTTTTTAAAGCAAGTTTTATTCATGTTGGGACGCCTTCTATTCGCTGAAAATTAAATATTCCATCCTTCAGATATTACCCTCTAAAAATAAGGAGGTAATAGAGAAAGATGCTTGCTTGAAGAGTTAGCATTAAGGAGCTGAGCACAGTGAAGACTCAGAAAAACACACCATGCTCAGAATCAGCAAACAGACCTCAGCAGAAACAGTTCTAGTGGAAACCCCACGGACACAGGAGAGACTTTTCCCTCCAGTTATGTGATATTAGCAGATGTATCAGTAAGCATTTACCTACCAAAGAATCACAAAATAACAAATAAATAAATAAATAAAATTGCAAAGCAAATTCCTCAGCTGCAATATCCACAAAGAACAAAAGAGGATATTTTATTTTTTAACGAAATAATTTTAGGAGTATTTTAGAAAACCATATCAATCTCAGTTCGGAAGGTATCCACTGCCATCCCGACAGAAGGACGAACAGCACACCGTCAGCGCAGTTCCACGCACGAAAGCGCCCAGCACACCGCAGGTGGGAGCAACCTGTGACAGGACGCAGGCCTGCTGCTCTTAGCTCTGGTACGAGGCTACTGGCGAATTATTTTTCTTTCTCTTTTCAATTCTCTCTCCCACATTCTCTTAAAGGACATGGAAAACTTTCTGTGTCTGCACAGCACTCAGAGACACTTCACGATTTCCATACAAACCACACCTTTGTTTCAAAATTTATCAACATTTTTGATGTGAAAGGGCCAGTTCCAAATTCGGGCTGCTGTTTTCTCAGCCTACCTTCAATTCAGCCTTACCTGGATCAACCACTTTTATGTTGTTCTTAACATGAAAGAAGTTAGAGACATTGAATTTATCCAGGTTTGTTGGATCCTGAAAATAAAGATTAAGAAAAATATCAGAGAGCTCCACAGGCACCCATTTCATGCAACAGATCAGCCGGAAGGGCAGACACCCCTGCAACAAACTAACATGAAAAGACAATAAATATCACACTCCCCAGATCAGATTGATTGAAAAAAATACACAATTTCTTAAATTAATCCAACCCAGTAGGTAACAATCAGCCTGCTTCGTAGGCTCCTTGGGGAGCCTGGAATTCAGTCCCCAGCGTAGTAGCACACACATTTTGCCCACAGAAGTTGCTAACAGACAACATAAGCAGAGCCTACCTTACACAAGGCAGAAGGGTTGAGCAGCTGCAGCCCCATCCACTTATCCCATGGTTTCGTTTAACACCTAAGCACATCACATCAGCTCTCTCCCCCATTTGTAACACTGTGCTTGATTTACATGTGTTCTGTGAACCTTTGTAATGTGTTTCAGAAACACAAACTTCAAAGCAAGTTTCTGCAGTCAGAACTGTGCTGGTTTTCATAGTGAAATCTGTGCTTACAGAATGACTCCAAACATATATAAAATACTAAAAATGGCAATGTGAAGTGGCCTTGTGAAAACTGTTCAAAGACCACTCAAGAAAAAAAGCAAAAATAAACAGTCCATAATTGTAAGTCTTTATACCATCTCTCGTCAAGTGTCAGCATGACTCCGACCTTCTCTTAGAGAGAAGGACCAGGAATGCCCCCAGTAATCTGGGGTACCCTATACTGTTACTAAACAGTCCTTAGCCTCCCTCCTACAGCCATCTTAGGGTTTTCTCTTCAAGCTCCTCTACAACAAAGAAAGTCAAAGCATCAGCCCAGGACAGTCCAGGAATTTCTGGAAATTCCATCTTTCAGAAGGTAATTTAAAATCCATAATACCTTAATATACTACAGTTGTACGTTCAGAACAACACTGCAACTTGCTAAGCACAGGCTCACAGCATTGACACAAACAGCATTATCCCAAATAAATTTAACAGAACCTCTCAATCCGGCTCTGTTGTTAAGAAATTCCAACAATTCCATTTTTGCTAAATGTAATGGTAAATATCAACAGAGTTGGTAGCTCCATCCCTTGCTAAATAATCCAGCTATGCCTTCCATTTATAAAATCAAGCTATGCCAGTCTGCACCCTAACGATGCCCTCCTGGCTTTCTTGTGCTCCCTTCAGCAGTCACACAGTCATTTTCTACTGCCTGCTGCCCGCCCTGCTAAACCACCTCTGACAGATTTTCATCTGAAATGGACAGACAAAAAAATACATATCTTATCTTTAACGTATTGCATTAGAAGCTGATCATCCTTAAATGAACCTCGTGAGGAACAGAAGCCAGGGCTGCCCTTCGGTGCCCATCGCAGCACTCAGCTGAGCTCAGTGGTGGGGCTGTGAGCGCCGATGGGCTGCGGGGTCCCACTGTGCTGCAGGGGTTTGGAGCAGGCAGCCTTTACAGCTCCCTTCCCAGCTCTAACGATTCTATGATTCTATGGTTCTTTATCCATTCTTGCATCCTCTGACTCCTGCGCTCACGTATATTTTTTGTTTTGTGTGAGTAAAAATGCGATCACCCTCACATCCATTTATTTCCATGTGTATACAGAGATAATTCCAGCCTTGCACTCCAACAGTCAGTGCGATACATGGAGAAACCCAGACAAAGGGCTCAGCATGCTTCCAGAAGACACAGCTTGCCTGCTCCCTCCCAGACATTCTTCACTTATCACAAGCTGCAGCTTTTCCTGACAGGAATCACTGCCTTGCATATCAATGTGCCACCACGAGGAATGAGGTAAGGAGGACAGCTTACCCTTTCCAGGAAAGGAGGAAAATAATCTGCATATTAATATGAATGCAGACAAATGGATTTATAGCAATCCACATTTCTGCCATTGGTGGCAAAGCTGAAGGGCAAGACTGAATCCAAAACAGACTTCTCACGAGGTACAGATGGGAGGGGGAGAGGTCAGGAGACAGAAGGGAAGACGAAGCAGATAGCTTCACTGCGTTCTTCTAAATAAAGCTTCTAGATTTACTGATTTGTACATTGTTCAAAAGCAACCAGCAGCACACTGTAATTATTGCTGCCTTAAGAAACCCAGTGCATTGTGCTCAGGGTAGCATGACTCAGATTAGCTCAAACTGTTCTGCAGCCACAATTCATTCAGATGTTCACCAGCTTAACTAGCCTAATTGCTGGCACAGAGCAACTCCACAAACTCCACTGTTTGTTCTCTGCCTCCATGCACAGCACTGGCTGGGGCATTAACCCACAGACAGCTCACCCACTGCAGTACCAGGGCTGCTGGAGTGCACCCACAGCTGTGACAGCCAGCACAGCCCCACTCCCCAGCATGGAACGAGGGCCCCATGCTGTGTTCTGCACTACGTTCGGCTGGGCTGCCCCGATGAAAGGTTTGATGTGTAGTGTTTTCTTTTGGGACTCCACTCATCAGGAGTCTCACCATGCACTGTGAGGCAGAAAATCCACGTCTACTCCAAAACCAGGAACTGAGAGCTGCACAAAGACCAGAGCTGAGCTGAACCGAGACAAGGAGATCAGCCTACTTACATCCCAGTGTGTTCAGAAGTATGTACTCCAACTGCCACGGCAGCAGTCTTGGGGTCTCTTATTGAGGCTATGAACTGTGAACTGAAGTTCAGCACTTTACTAACACAGATGCAGGCTTCAAAGGGTTGCCAACTATAATGCTCATTTGATGTTTTCCTGAAAGCTGAGCTCTGAAAACAACAAATCTCAAGTTTTATTCCTCTTTCTTTTGAATCCTACCCTTTTTCTGCTTCACCTGTTTAGGGAAACAGCTTAAAGCCCATCAGTGTGAAGCACCATCCACATGGCCTTCCGAAGCACTGCTGAAGCAGCACTGCCCCACGATGCCGACTGCTCAGACGCCCAGTGCCCCTCTGACAGTTCAGCTGCGCACAACATTACCCGGTTATCTCCAGGAACATTACCTTCAAATGACAAAATTTAGAAGCCCAGAACCCACATTACCTTCCTTGACAAAGCACAGTTCCAAGCACGTTAAACTTCATGGGAGCTTTCAACATGTTTTAATGAAACGGTATGAATGCTTTCCAAACAATTCCCAGGCGTCATTTAAGTTCTGAAAATCGTATTTATGGATAAGGGCATTCACCCCACACTGGCAGCCTCTCAATGGCCACAAGAAGCCTTGGATGGGAAGATGGGTCAACTCGAGGGCTGTGTGTGGACTGGAGAATGATGGCAGAATGACAGCATTAGCTTCCCTCTCCAGATGGGGCCATACTTGCCCTCCTATCCACTAAGTTGAGAACACGCAGTTTGCACAGGACAGTCTGCTGTGCCACAATCCTCTCAGCCACTCTGCTAGTGCATTTATGCAAGATCTGCCCTCAAAGAGCCCTCAGCCATAACTGAGAGAAAGGCTGCTCTGCCCTTCTGCTACACCAAGAGCAAAGGAGAAAAGAGATGAGGGAGTATCAGTGAACTCTGTGCAGCTCAGCTGCCTCCAGGTTAGTTGGTTAATTCTGCTTCCTGCCACAAACGCCAATGGTGTTTAACAGCTTGGCAAGAACTACATCTTGACCACGGCTGCTTAGGTTGTACAGAAACTGTAAAATTGACACAAAAAATAGCAATACCTCACATGAAAGAGATACAGACCTGAACAGTTGAGAGAAAAAAAATATCAGAAATACTGATACTAAAGAGAGAACTTGAGGAAACAGTAACACCTGCACTGTAGAAAAATGGAAATTTGAGTGCAGTTTGTGGCAAGATCACACCACTAAGAAAAGGCAAATACAGCTTGGAGGTAAAGAGCTGCAGTCTAAAATAAAACAGCAATGCTGTGACTGACAGAGTACAGGAAGGGGTTCAAGCACCACGTGTTCTGACATCGTCAGCAAGATACAAAACCAGAACAGGTGCCATCTTTTCCCTGAATAACTACATCAAAGTTTATGTCAATGCCATGTTTGGTAATTATCTCACACACAAGGACATGGTATTATACTTTACATCCTGCCCTGAGTGGCTGGAAAACATTGCACAGGTTGGTGAAAAGCTGCCCCAGGACCCCTGCATTTCAGCAGGGAGCAGGGCAGGTTGTGCCCGTGTCAGTGCAGGAAGCACCGCAGACTTGCTCACAATGAGAAGCGTGACAGAGACCCAGACAGTGCTATTAACCATTGAAGAAGTGCTGTTGTTGCTTTGGGCTTTTTTTAGTTCCAGATCCAAAATAAGTTGTCATTTTTAAAAAGTACACTAAAAAGCAAAAGGACACAAATAACTGTCACTAAAAATGAGGTGGTGCTCACCAAAAAAGGCAGCAGGGAAGGGCTGTGATTGCTGTTTGAACAGCGGCTAGCACTGAGAATGGAACAAAAAGAATTTTATGCAATTATCTCTCTCCTGAAAAGAGCAATTTTTTGTTTATAATTACATGCATTAGGAGACAGAGGTCAACTCTGAGGTCACACGCTGTTCTGCTAGCAGAACATCCCTAGCAGCTGTAGCTTTGCCCTTTCCATATCAATAAGGAAAAATGTGACGGCACAATCCGTGATCGTACATTACTCAGATTTTCACCCACCATCTATTGCACTCCCTAGCACAGGTACCTCACCTGCTTCCTGGGACATTCACAGTCAGACTCTGGAAACATTTTCTATTAATAAACAGAGCTATTACAGACAGTCCTATTCAGCTGTTGTTTGCAAAGCAAAGGATGCTTTTATAGCAACTTTCTTTATATTTATCTTTTGGACAAACAGTTGGGTCAGTGCTACCCACTCATTCCAACCCCAGTACCGTCAGACACCACAGCACTCAGCTAACAGAAGGCAATGGGAAAAGAAAACACTATAAATTTCAAGGAATTTAAAGGTTTTTTTTTTGTTTGTTTGTTTGTTTTAAGAGAAGCAGGATTTGGGACAGAGCTCTGGAGCTAAAGCACAACAGATTGCAGTCACAAACTCTGGCCAAGAACCAAAGCCACAGGTGGCAGAGCTTGGCAGGGCAAAGCCAACAAACTGCACACAGTGCTGACAGCAAGAGAATTTAGGGAGGAGACACTGGTTTGTCTTTTAACAATTCACATGAAGAAAATCACAACAGGATCTTACACCAAACACACAGCAATACTTGGAACAGCCAGGTCCATACCATTTCAGGCTGTGCTCTGCCCCCAGCTAATCAAGTTGGCTTTGGGTGGCATTTGAGTAGAATAAGAAGAATCTAGGTATGGCTGCAAGCTGTCATGCAGTATGTCCTTTGCATTCTTTGGGTTAAAAACATTTTACTTACAAAGCTTCTCTATTCATTTAGTGATACAGCACAAATAAGGATATACATAATGTTTCACTTTCTGAGAAAAAAAACAATAACACCACCTGTATTACAAGACACAAGCTTACCTGCAGTGTCACAATGTCTTGCCGGGTGAAGGGCTCATCTGTCAAGAGATCCTTGTAGCACTTTGGTTTTATGTTCAGCTGCTCAACTGCCTAACAGCCAGGTGAAAGATACAGGTGTTAAAAAATGAATTCTAATGCATAAACATTACAAGTAAATACACGATACCGCTCAAAAAGTGCAGGTGATAAAATAATTTTGCACTTCATTCTCAACTGGCAGCTGAAATGTTTTCATTGTATGCTTGAAAATGAAAAGCCATTTAATCCCTGTAAAAGTCATCAGGTTTTTCCTGTGTCTTTAAAAATAATAATAATTTTAACCAAATTCATCACAGAAGTACCACAAAAAACAAAATCTCTGAATTTTCTAGGAGAAGTATTTTACAGATGGTAGGAGACACAGAGCTGACATCTACCTGCTGTTAGCACAGGTCAGACAGCAGCTTGTGAAGCCAGTCCATCTCCTTGATCTTCATTTCCTTGGCCGTAAAACACAACAATGCCTACCTACCTTTCTGAAGTGTAAAACAACAAAATGCAAGACACAACATACCTCATAGGCAAACACATTTCCTGTTGTCTTGATGGCCACAATATGGGAGTTATTGGTGAATACAGTAAACAGCACCGGACAGTGGTATTTACCTGAGGCAAAGAGTGTGCATTTAGCATGGAGCCCTTACAACTCATAGGAAATAGCTAATTTCTGTTACTTCTGTGAAGGATATTCACATTTCTTTCTAACACAAATTGTAAATTCAGCGTACGTAACGGTGTTTTAACTGCTTTGATTCTTCAGCACCAAAGAGGAAAAAAAAAAGTGAAAAGTGACACCTCAGAGAATTATAAACCAGGCAATGGAAGTGCGGTTTTGCAATCTACTTTTCTAAGGACCCTTAGTCTCCCAACACAACTTTGTCCAACATGCATGGTATCAATGAAGTATCACATTATAACTGCTATTGTTGCAATTAAAGCTCTGCTGAGGGCATGGGCCTCCACCTTAACACACCCAGAACTCTACTTCTGGTGTCGTTCCCAGAAATTAAGTTGAGCTCACACCCAGTGAAAGCTCATAGCAACTGCTGGGCTTCTCAGAGAGGAGAGTGTTTTGCATTCAAATGTGGCAAGCAGAATGCCATTAAATCTGAGCACGTTGTTCGATAAGGAACGCAGCTTCTGCTCTCACCATGCTGTGAATTTCCCGGAGGGTCAGCATAAATATTAAGCATGTCAATAACAAGCACACTGATGGAAGCCAGCGTGTGAGGGAGAAGAAAACGTCGGGATGAGCTGCACAGAAGCAATTAGAGGAGGCTGTTAATACTTGATTATTTTGCTAGACCTGAGCGTTTGGGTGAGATTCTGAAATAGGTTGGGTCTGTTTGGTTCTTTTTGTCCTAATTACCATCTGAAAATCAAAACCAGCAGGGAGGCTGGAACAGAGATTGCTCACAGCACCTGCAGGGACAGGAAGGGAAGCACCTGCGGAGTATTCGCCGATTAACGGATCAGCCAGAGGAGGCACTGATCTCCAACGTGGAGAAGCAAGCAGCTGAGGACTAGTTCTGTTGATGTCACTAGGTTGAAAATGAAAGATATACTGAGGAGAAAGTTCAAAAAGGACTTTCTAGCAGAGGCAGCGAGGTACGGCCCAGCTGATGGGTGCACAAACACACCAATGAAATGGGAGGCCTTGCTCTAGCTGCGTGCAAAAAGAACAAACCACCACGATGCCCATCCTAGCAAAAGCACAGAGCCTGAGGTGGCACTGAAAGAAGGAACTCCACTAAGGAGGGATCATGAAGTGGAAGGGACTGCTATACCTGAAGACATAGCAAGGATTCTACATGTAAAGATTTAAATAAAGGTTTAACTGAGGGACAAGAAACATAACATTTTAGTCTCCCTATTTCACTGCTTTTTCCCTCAATTTGTTAATGATACAGCATTCACCTTTGTATGGGAAAGAACTCAAGGAGTGCATGGCTGCTGTCATTCCACCCCAGCATTATGAACTGCACTTCTTCAAGCAAAGTACACAACGTCTTTCAAGAAAGTTTCACAATGTCTTTCAAGAACCTTGGCTACAGTTACTACTGATCATTTTTAACCCCCTGCCCTTGGGACAGAGGGAACACACAACACAGAGGAAATCCATCAGGCAGGGAACAGACCTTGTGATCTATGGACCCTTGTAGGATAAGGAAACAGACACTCCAGAATTTTATTCCCACCTAATCTTTGCCAGTCTCCTTTCGAAGAGGTCATTATCTGTCTTGCAAAAGAGAAATTCATCTCCACTTTTCTGCTTTGTTCCAAGAATCCTCACTCTGATGGCAGATTTTATACCTTTAATCCTGCAGAAATACAGCTGGAGGCTGCTTTCTCATGTGCCTCTAGTGGCAAAATCCCTCATGTTCATTTGAAACCAATTCTTTTTGTAAACAAAAAGTTGCTCAAAACCAAGAGAACCGCAAATAATGGCATATGTAAGTTGGGAAAAAGAAAAAGAGAAAATACAGAAAGAGCCATTTCTGAAAATTTCCTTAAAGTAAAAGTTCCCTTACTCCAGGGGTAGCTGTATTACAAAGGAATTGCTGAATAATTCACAGCTCCCCTGAATAGAGAATAACAGGGGCCTTAAGGGAACACACTGATTACAGCAAGCAGTTATTCTTCTAAAAAAAACCATTAAACCAAGACAGAACACAAGCTATGTCATCTCACCATGAGTGAGACAAACTCGGATTTATTAAAGCATTCATTAAGAAAGAAGCAAGCCAACAAGAACAGAAAGTTAGTGTACTTACCTTCACTGTTCTTAGCAAAATTCAGCTTTATAAGGGATTTGGCATCTAGTTTCTAAAGGAAATGAAGCACGAGGAAAATTAATGACAACAGAATCTAAACATGGAAATAACAGAAATGGTAACATCAGTGTCAGTATTTCAATAGAGCATCATATATTAACACTATGTTGCAAGTTGTCTGGATCAAAAAAAACCCTGGGAATGCAGGTTACAGCCTCAAGAACAAGGCTCACAGCACATGGGAACGGGGACACGGCCAACTTATTTATGGCACTGTAGTCTGACACAGCACGGGGCTGGGCAAAGCCAGCGGGCCAGAGAGGTGACACGGCCCTGCCCTAGCACCAACCGACCAGGGACACGAGAAGCAGAGGCAACCAGTGCTGCTGCCCATCAGAAGCAATGGTTTGGAAGGGACCTCTGAAGAGGGTCACACGGCAGTGTGCTACTTCGGCAATCAGGTTCACTGCCTGTCCTAAGATAACTGTAATTTGCCTTTGCCTCACCCCTTCAGGGGCGATGTGCCCCCAGCAGGGCAGCACCCAGCAGGGCAGCACCCCATCCAGAGCTGGCCCTGCCAGCCTGCACTCTGAGCCAGCACCTCAGTGGGAAAAAAACCCTCTGATTGTATCAGCTATCAGAAACGGTTTTGCTGCCAAATGGACTGTTAAAAGCACACAAAGCACAGGGCCTTTCTGAAGAAACAATCAGCTCTCCCAAAGCAGGCACCTGAGCAGCTCAGTGAGATTTTCATAACGCAGCCAGCTTTTATAAACAGACTTGAGCAGAGATCTGCCAGCTGTGGAGCTGGCTCTGCCAGTTCAGTCCTGATGGCAAACGGCGATAACCACATCAGAGAAACCCTGGCAGTGGGAATTTCTACTTCTGGTTCAGGCAGCACACACCATGGCAGCTGGGCTCATCTGCTTGCAGGAAGGCACTTCTCCAAGCGGTTCTGTCCACTGGTAATCTTAATATTTGGTAATGGGCTGCCAGACAGGTAACCATCTCTCTAATGTATCAGCCAGAAGTGCAGTTAAGAGCTAATAGAAACCAGATGGAAGAAGGAAGAGCGAAGCCAGGTTGGGTGACACTGTTTTTCTTAAAACACACCTCCAACAAAATGAAAGCATCGTCTGCATGCTGCTAGGTTACAAAGAAAGGGCAAAGGCAACAGCAAGTCTGAAATGACTAACTGAATGCAAAACCTTATTTATTTACTCATTGATCTTTTTACTAGAACAAAACTGCCAGAGAAGCAGAGGGGGACAGCAGAGCCACCACAAGAACATATGAACTTAAACAACTTCATAACAAAGCAGCATCCATCTGCTGCAGGGCAGCCCAGGAATTATGTTACCAAAAAACTTCTTAAAACTTCCAGAAATACCTCTGGAAACACCGATCGTTTAAAGAAAGGCCTTTATATTATCTCCCCTGCTCACTGGATCAGATCATCATTAAACAAAAATGAAAACAGTTTCCTAAGAAGCAGCATAACGTGGTTGAAGATTCAGGTTTATAGGTTGACAGAAATTTAGTAGAAAAGAGAGACTGTACTCCTGAACAGATCTTAAAGGCAGCAAAAGCTGTAATGCTCTGCTTCACCTGCCAAAGTATGAAGTCTGTCAGAAGTGCAGCAAGCCCTTACTAGATACCCAGGGGAACTGCATGGTATTTTGGGTCACATCTTTCCATGCTATACAAAAGGTTCATTCTCAGCAGCAGTTACTCGTGGTGCCTCAGCTGCTCGTGCTGGCATCTGCTCCTCACCAAGACCAGCCCGTACAAGTCAGCAGTAAATTAAGAAACAACGCAGCAGCGATGTTCGTGTAAGATGTGAGGCACACGTTCTGCCCGGAGCCGCTCCCAGACGAGAGCTGTGTGAGGAGGCGCTGCGCAGACACGAGGGCGATGGCTGCGCTGTGCCAGCCCTGCCTCCCAGCAGCCCCACATCTCGGGGGGCTCCTGCTGTGCCACCTGCTGTGCAAAGCGGGCTGAGAGCTGCCCACGAGGAAACGCGTGGGAATTGCAGGAAGTCCAGCCCAGAGACACAGAGAGAAGCCGATGGGCACATCTAACGCATGGAATGACAGGAGGGGGAGTTAGGCTTTTGTCAAAGGAAATCTCTGGAGGGCCAGGATGGCAAAGCCAGGCTCTGATCCGCTACAAAGGACGGCCCTGCCTGGCCTACAAAGGCTGCTCGGTGCTGGGACCCAACTGTGGCGTCACACAGCTGCAGGCGGTGTGCCCGGAGCAGAGCACAGCCTGCACACTGTGCTTCCAGCAGGGCTGGCATGGAAAACCCATGCTGATCTGCACAGAAACAGAGATACGTCTATGAAACACGTTGCACAGCATACCATGAAAGAACATGATACAAAGAGGGCATATTTTATGCCCTCTGCCCCAACCCACGTTCTTCATTTCATTTGAAAACACGGTTATCTCGCACGTGGGTGAATCTGCCATTACTTATTCTCTATCAAAAAAAGGCAAAGCTTTCTAAGCACCGCCAGTTTGTTGCCATGACAATGTCCAGTATGCCACAAGCAGGCACCAGCCTTCCAGAGACAGAGCAGTGAGTGAGCCCTCACATGAGTTAAAGTGCTCATTGCCATGAATTTCTTACTAGCAATAAAACACAAAGAAGCTCAAATATTGAACGTACAGCTCAAGTTCAAAACTGTTTCTGACCTGAGCTCCCCCCACACACTTATCACCCAGTTTCAGTCAACTTCCAGTGAGGAAAGGAAAAAGCAATGTTAACAAAAACCACTTGATTTAATTGAAATTCTAAATTCATAACGAAGATGAAAAGCCACAAGCACACATCTCTCCCTCTAAGCAGGGATCAAAGCTGTATATCCATGGCTAAAAGCATCTGAAGCAAGAACAGGGGAGAGCAGGCGTGCTTAATGGCATGTGGTACCAGATGCTCCACAGCAAGGAAGGGCCCAAAGCAGCCCCCAGCAAAGGCAGCCGATTCTCTCCTCACTGCCTCCTCTTGCAGGTGACTTTCAGCCACCAGGAGCCCCAGCACCCCATCTGTTGCTGACCCCAAAGGGCGCTGCCTTTGTTGGTGGCCACACAGAGGTCGTTAGGAGCGCAGGTTAACGAGGCGCAGCAGCAGCGTGCAGACGGGGCTCGGTGGCTGTTTCAAACCCAATCATCCTTTGTCATCACCGCGTCTCTCGTGAAGACACGGCCTACAATCCTTGTGCTCCAGTTACACTCCCTGAATCCATCGGTCTGAGGCAGCACGTTCGTTTTGTTAATGAGGCTGTGACCCGTTGGATACAGACTGCGACACAAAGCCAACGGACACAAAGCCAACGGACACATCGGACTCTCCAACCACACGAGGGCAGCTGGCGACACGCAGCGAGAGCTGACTCCTGTAAATGTGCGCAGGAGAGGGTTCTCATCCCGCCCAAACAAGCAGAGTTACCCCAAATACAGGAGAGAGCCAAACCCAACTGTAATACTGAACTACAGCATTGCCCACCAAGCACCAAATCTAACTTAACACTGGCAGATGAATTTTGCACTAAATTCTTTGGAGTCTACACTTGTTATTCATTGCGCACAACCTCCAATTTCAGGAAGCCCTCACACCATTTTTCATGCTATTATTCTTCAAGAAATACCACAATGTTATTTGAATGCTAGAATATTATTTGAATAACTCCATGTATACCGTCGCTTATTTTAGATGCTGTAAATGAACTTAATGATAACAAAAGGCATTGGAAATCCTCAGCAAGTCTACACAGCATGGGAATGCAATGGGAAAGAGCAGGGCTAGTTTAATAAGATACGTTTCAGTCATGCAAGTCAGTGTTTCATGGGAAAATTAGGACGAGAGGCCAAAAAAAGGCAGAACGGCCTCCTGATTCAAGCTATGGTTTCTACGTTCAGCTCAACAGCATCAACATGAGATGTGTGTCATATGAACAACTACTGAGTGTGTGTGGCTTCCAGCCCCCTACTGAACTGGTATGAAAATGGCACAAAAGGTTCCAAAATGTTTTATTACCCACCTCCTTTGTATTTCCACATTTAAATCTTACTTAAACTGACACCATATGGTCCCCAAAACCTTGTCCACACAATCATAAAGGTATGCTTGCTAACACGCACAGCTTGCAGATAGCAATAGTATTGCTGTACCAAAGAGCACATTAACATGAATTACCATGAGAAAAAGACATGCAGTTCCATACGTAAGACTAAACCCTCAATCTTAATGCGCTCAGAAGCCTATCAGTCCAGAGATCCAGAGATGCAAGGATCTGAAAAATAAACTCACCTTTCAAGATGGATAAAGGCCAGCCATTAGCAATGCTGCAGGCACTACTGCAAAGCACAGCTATGGTTTTGGAAGAGGAATGACCAACTATCCCCACGTTTACCAATAAGAAAGGAGAAAGTTTTGGAAAACGCAGCAAAAAAAGCAGTCCTTTTTCTGGTTATCAGCCTCAGTGTCACCCTGGGCCCTCCTGTTTTGTATGACCATTTCCAGTTACAACACACCAATTCCCAACTGCTCCTCTGGGCAAGAATCACACCAAGATGTGCTTCTATCCCAAGGCCTTGAAAATTCATGGTCACAAGTCAAAATGCGAGCTCATTCAAACTGCTGACAAACAGCTGATGATCCCTGCAAACAAGGCGGCACAGCTCTGCACAGCACAGAACAGCACTGCACTGCTCTGCACAGCACAGAACAGCACAGCATTGCACTGCACAGCTCTGCACAGCACAGAACAGCACAGCATTGCACTGCTCTGCACAGCACAGAACAGCACTGCACTGCACTGCTCTGCACAGCACAGAACAGCACTGCACTGCACAGCACTGCACAGCAGCTGCACTCAGGGCGCCCTGACAGAGCTGCGTGGGGCAGCTGTTCCTACTCACAGATATCAATGGGCCTCTGAAACCCAGTGAGAAAGTGAAGATCCTCACGTTCTGACAGCACCCTCACATCTCAGCACAAGCTCAGGAAACGTTTTCTGTCTTAAACCAACATCAGTAATAAATCAAAGTGTTACCATGTGAATTTCAGGAAGACACCAGACAGCACTCCCATCGCTTCAGCGGCAGTCACTCTGTGTGATTATGATTACCACGTTCAAAGAAGATAAATTATAATTGAAGAGGTGCAGAAGATGACTGCGACCATATGAAGTACAAAGAACTTAAAGGCAAGAACACCTGACAGGAAAGGACAAGTCTCAGCAAGGCAACGTCAAGGAAGCATTACATTCCACTGCCCTGGGTACACAACTGTAAACACAAAGAGGGAAAAGCGGAGTTCTGGCATAAATAAAAACCAGAGTTAGCTGGTCAGACCCAGAAGCGACAGAAGACCTCTCAGATGAAAAGCCATCAAAAGGATCCCTCACCAGGAAAGCAAACAGCAGGTCAAGGCAGAGCATGCTGCCTGCAGAGCAGATGCCAGGAAGCAGGAGACCTCAGACAGCCCTCCAGGATTGCACTGCTGATGGTTGCACCCTGAGCTCCACAACATGACAGCGTCTGAACCACTGCAACAAAGCCTGCCTTGGTTTTACTGCTGTAAGCTTTGTTCTCTGCTCCTTAATAAGCTGGTACTCACTAAGCTGTATTCCCACTCCAGATGGAAACTTTTACAGATAAATGAGAAAAAATGCTTCTTTTCTTCATTTCAAACATATGTGAAAAAATGAGGAAAGTTTACGTAAATTGAAAAAAAAAGGAAAGAAGGCAACTGGTGTTTGCACCCATGCAGTGGGGATACGACTGAGATGCATCAGAAAAACTAAGAAACAGACTTTGAATTTTGCAGCTGAAGAGCTAAAAAGCTACAATTCCCCTTTTTGTATCCATTGCACCACAACCAAATGAGACCTGGAGTCACTGCTCCAACGACCACTCATTTCCAAATCCCCAATAAGGCAACGTAGGACACTACTTTGATCTCAGGAGCTGTGCTCAGACTCTGAGAGGAAAAAAACAACCAAATGTATGGAAGGGTCACACGCCATTCACCTGAAGTTTGCTGAGTCGTGACAAATATCTCACCCAGCCAGATAATCTCCCTCTCAGTTCAGCACTGACCATGGAATCCTGCCTTAGGGGCAGCCTGCTCTCTAGCACCATGCAGTACTTTCTTCCCAGCGTTGTCCAAAGAACCAAAACACCCAGAAGGGGCACCACTCTGCTATGGGAAAAACCTTTTCAAGAAGAGAAGAGCTGAAGGCAGCTGAAGGCAGATCTGAGTGGTGCTGCAGTACACCACGCTCTAACAGCCATCACAGCCCTCAGACCACGATGCTGCGGGCAGGTGGAGCTGTGCTCTGCAAACGCAGCATACAGAACTCTGCCAACAGCAGCAATGTTTCCCTGACAGCTCCAGGAGCCACACCAGCAAAAGGTCACCTGCAGACCACAGATCCTCTGCACAGATATCCATCATCTGCTGCTCATTAACTAGAAACACACCTGGAATAACACGGCTAAAACCACAACCTACAGTAAATTAGCACATCTACCATGCGAGCCAGAGCTTAAAGCCACAACGGCACTGATTCAGCCCATAGGGGTCATGTGAAACCTGAACTCACACATGCTCAGCTCAGGCTGCAGTGCCTCCCAGCCCCGCCAGCACCGCCCAATGCCTGCCCACAGGGCGCCCTGCTCAGCACCCTGCCCACAAACACACGGCCGTCCCAGCAGCAGGCTCTGTAAGCAGATACTGGCACACAGCGCTGAACTGCAGAGCCAGGTGGGAATTTCAGCTGTGCTTTAACACCGCACCCTTCAATCCGGGCTGACATATTTCTTATTCTCCAATATAATGCGGCTTCTCTATTCGTAATACTGTAAAACAAGAACATATTCTCAAGCCCTCTTCCTCACTGTTCATTTCTGAAGCGAAGAAACAATAACCAGCGCTATCTGCCTCTGTATCTGTGCTTTCAAAACATGTACATGGTAGAAACACTTCCAGATTAAGGAAGTTAATGCTCCACTTTCCACATCCTTTTGGGCAGGATTTCCCGTGGTTAGACAGCCAAAGGCTTTCTGAGCGCAGTGAGAAGTGTTGATTTTCAAACTGGGACTGACACAATTGGTGGTAATGGCAGCCTCCTCCTTCATCTGCTCAAAAGCCTCTGCCACCCCAAGACCGGCAGCGCATCTTCATGAGATTGACTGAGACTGAAAATACTTTTTTATGCCCTCACAATAAAGTTCAGTAACACCAGCTGCCAACACTTGGGAGAACAAGTAGCTACAAATGTTTAAAAAACATACCAGAGAATGACTTTTCCAAAGCTATAAAATAACAGGCTTAGCTGCAATATTTTATTTTCAGGGTATAAAATCATTGGCTTTGAGAGTGGCTGTAAACGTTCAGGCAAACATCACGTTACCAACCCCCTCCCCAAATGATTTAAGAAAACAGCAGTGCCTGCATTCAGACACAAGCAGTGGACGCTCACTACGTGCTGCCAGGGCAGCTCAGCCAGGCTCTGCACACGAGGTGGCACCTGGCCGGCCCCCACTCTGCCCCACACCATCATAAACCCACCCTACCAAGCTCATCTCTAGGCTTCTCATCCACGGGCACGAGCTAAGCCCAAGCTAAATTACTTTGCCTGAATACTGTTATAGTCTCCTTGCATCCATCGGCTGGGAACACCTTTAATCAAACACAGGATGTTTCAAAGGAAATCACAGCCGAACCATAAACCAGCCCCAAATCCCGTGCCACGGCTGCCGCCTCGTGGTCAGGAAAGTAACTGCGCTCGCTCAAGGAAAGGATCTCGGTAAACCAGCAACAACGTCTGTTTAAAACCTACATCTTCAAAAAGAACTCACTCTCTTTTAACGTATCAGAAGACAAAATGATTTCAACAGTCCATTACTTCATATCTGTCTAGTCCTCTAGAGCTTCACACAGAAAGCAATCCCTTCAAAGTTACCATTTACATAGAAAAAGAGGAGGGGGGACAACACTACAGCACTGGCCATAGTGTGAGATCTGGTCAGTTAACTGTCATGGCAGAGGGAGAGAAGCTGTCTGAGACATATTGTCAAGATAATTCCAGCAATGCTGCAGATTAAACTACAACTCATCTGCACTAATATTCAGCTGGGAAAGTCTTTGCAAGTCTCAGCATAGATGAAGAGATGAGCCAGGCAGCACCCTGCCCGCATGGACCAGAATTTGCTTATAACAGGGCAGCAGAAAAGCTCATCTTGTAAGCCTGCACTTTCATTTTAGCAAACCTGATGCCAAAAATTTCATATTTTCACTACCGTTCGACTTCATTTACTTTCACTGAAGCACTTTTTTTCCACGTGTTAAACAGGAAACTGAACGTACAGAAAGTCAACATATCAGTGAATATAACCATCACTTACTTCTCCTGTGATTGGATTGGTTCCATACTTTTTTATCCAAGGAACAATGCTTCTGAAAATAGAAGGGAGAAAATTATGAGATAAGCACCACTAGAAACCTCTATTATTTTAAACAGGCACAGTAAATTTCTGCCAACTTGCTTGGATCAAAGGATGGTTACACAGCAAAACAACAAGAGCTAAGAACAGCCAGGAACTTACAGTATGTCAAAGACCATCCCATCTGGTGTACAAACTGGGTATTCAAATGGCTGCAGAGACAAACTAGGAAAAAAAAAGACACTTTTTTTAAGCAAAATCAGCTGGAAATCATGATGACAACAGAAGTTAACAACATTTTGCTGATTGCTGCATGCTAAAGAAAGCCCAACACCAATGAAAACACAGCAGTCACCAACACCCACTGCCTGCTTCTATGTAAGTTCCATTAAAAACAAAGTTTCTGAACGGCTTTCGCAGCTGAGCACCCACAGCCACAGGGCAGATGCTGCGACGCTCCCTAAGCACAGCAGGTTCCATCAGCACTTCAAGAAGTCAAGTCAGCAGAAAACAATAGTATAACTGTCCCTTCAATCTATCTAATGGCAGCCTCAGCTTGCTGGATAGCCACCCAGTCACGTTCTGACCAGGAAAAAAGAGATCCACGTTCTGATGGCACAGACGTGTGAGATGGGCACGCAGGCAATAACCGCTCTACTTTATCACACGCGCACTCCTTCAGCCACGGGATGCGGTCCCAGCAGATGTAGGAGGCGCAGTCATCATTTCAGTCCTCATCTGCACGTTTCTCACCGCAGTGCCGTCAGGGCAGGCGCGGCCCGATGGAGCTCCTGGGGGCCCTGAGCTCAGCGCAACCATTGGGCCCAAACGTCGGTTATTTAACAACGATAACGTGCCGCCTTACCTGCAGTGATCAAACGATATCCGCCTGAAATTAGCTCGGGGATGGTCTGTTCGTGAGAGAGAAAACACGGCGTTAACGTGCAGTTCCGGGATCTGCCCGTGCCGACACGGACACGCAGACGGACACGGACAGACACACGGACGGACAGACACACGGACGGACGGACACACGGACGGACAGACACACGGACGGACGGACGGACGGACGGACACACCCCCGCGGGGCACTCACCCGCCTTCTTGCCGCCGTAGAACTGCGTGTACTCGGCACACGTGATGTACCTGCGGGCACAGCGCTGTCAGCACGCCGATCGCGCGGTCCCGCCGCCCCCCGCCCCGCCCCGGCGCTCGGCCCCCGCCCCGCTCACATTTTGTCCTTCTGGTGCTGCCGTTTCCCCATGGCCGCGTCCCGCCGTCCCGAAGCAGCTCGAGGTCCCCCGGCGGCGCCGCTCCTTCCGCCCTGTGCGGCTCCAAACGGCTCCGCAGGAAACGCGGGCGGCGCGCGGCGTTCCGGGGCGGCACCGAGCGCGGAGCAAAGCGAGCGGGAAATTCAGGCCGCGTCCGACGCGGGCGGCTCTCGTAGCGCTTCGGGGACGGACTTCGGGTTTAAGACTTAGCGAGGAGGGCTTGTCTTCCGCTAGCTAGCCGCCTTCGAAGCGGAACGCTGAGGCGCCGTTAAACGGCGTTACCGGAGAGCGCGGCGCCGCCTGGCACGGGGTGCGGAGCGAGGGCGGGAAGTTCCGCTATGGCGGCGGGGCGCGGCTCAGCCTCTCGGCAGGAGCGGCGCGCGGCGCTTGGGGAGAAAACGAGCCGAGCGAGTGAGGTTGAAGGCCGTTCTGAAACCGCTCCGAAAGCGAAGTGCTGGCACCGCGCAGCGCCGTGCGGCCGGGATGGAAGCGCACGGAAGGAGCGCGGCTGGGCGAAGCTCAGCCCGAGCCGCGGCGCCGATCCCCTCCCGCGGCCCCCGCTCCCAAAACGCCTGGAAGGGAGAGCGCCCTGACGCTCGGCTCCGGACGCCATAGCGCGATTTAGCACGCGGCGGCGGCGCTAGAGGTGCCCGCGCCCTTCGTCACGACAATTCAAGGCCGCTTTGTTGTTTTTTAAACCAATGCAGTCTTCATTTATTTTTGTACTTACAAAAAGAGCCGTCCCGTCGTTCCCCCCCACCCCGCCCCCCGATGCCGTTTACAAATATTGAAAAATTAAAAACCAGATGAGGACGAGTTAATTTGGTTGAATTATTTTGAAACGTAGCTTTTGTAATTAGAGTTAGATTTCCTACCAGATGACTTTGTAGAGACAGCCTGATTATTGGCCAAATAAAATTCCATATCACAAGTTAGCAAATTCTAGTACAAAAATAGTCCGTGTTAGAACAGCCTCTTATTATTATTACTATATTCACAGGAAAATCTATTGGCTGCGTAATACCGTAATATTTACGAAATTTCTTTTTATGCGGCTCATTCATCTAATTCAATATAGTGTTGAGCCTCAATAAATCCTTAGGCAAAAAAACCCTACACAGGGTTAAATACGCTGTTCAGTGTACTCTGAAGTACTGTGCTTTTCACAGGACATCCAAGAAACCCCATAAACAGTTCTCCGCTAATTTCCATATTAAAATGAGATCAGATCCAAAAGGACCCCCCCGAAGTACATACATACGCACACCCTTCCGCAGAAACAGAGGCCACAGCTTTGATGGTCACGTTTCACTTGGGAAACTGTGGACGCTCGTCCGCTCCTTTCCACAGATCCGCTCGTGAGCTTTGAAAACTAACGCAGGTCACCCGCAGCGCCGGCACCTCGCAGCACCGCCACCTCCGCACTCCCACACCAACCGGGCTCCCTCTCCTCTCCTCTCTTCTCCTTTCCTCTCCTCTCCCGTCCCCGCGTTATGCTGTTCAGCAGTTTCTCTCGGACCAGGCCCCTCAGGGAAAAGCTGGGGAAATGCTACTTGTCTCTCAAGATGTCCAGCTGCTCTTGATATTCTGTGAAAAGCCTCTGGAAGCGGAGGTTCTGTCCAATAACAGGAAGAAGTTCTTTCAATAGTTCTCTCTTTCGTAAACCCTGAAAACAAACAAACAAAAAAACAAGCTACACAACACAAAAGCTTCCTCAGAATGCGTTTCTTTATATTGGGAATGTAATCCATAGGATTGCTTCAGATTCATGCGTTTCTTTTCCTGACTGGGAAGAGCCATGCATTTTAAGTTCTTACTCTGCTTGCCTGACTAAAATAGAAGCTGACTTCACATTTGTGTGCTCATGGAGCTGCTGCAGCCTCTGAGAAGGGAAGGCGTTTCATCGGCACACCGCTGTCTCAGAGTTGCTCTCTGAAGAATGCGGAGGCCTGCACTTGCAGCTCTACTCCGTCTGATCAGTGTTTAAGACTAGTGCAGGGACTGTGGAGCTGAGCATTCATCTGCTGGTTCGCCTGAAATACATATAAGTGCTATGGGAAGAAGCCTTCTTGTGGGATAGGACTATAGAGTGTAAAGGGTTCCAGGAATAGCAAAAAAACATTTTAATCCATGATTATATTAAGTTCAACCACATTTTAAGTTACATTGTGTACCCACATCCTGTAATTTCCATGGGAAACTCTCCCTCAAGACTCACCATTACTGTTGATTCCCATTGACTTCCAGCTGAGTAATGGACTGGACCCAGCAAATCCTTGCATAATTCTCGCAAACGATATTCAAACCCTGAATATTATCAGAATAAGATCATAAAAATTTCACTATATAAAACCTCCACACAATTTAACTGACAACATTTTCAAGAAAAAGAGTTGCAAATATCTAGAATAGGGTAAGGCCAACATGCAGGATTTCTGAAAACGTAGATGTTTCTTTTCAATTAGTGAGGACTTTCTCACGTGTAACTGTTTTTAACATGTGTCCTGACTCTAGATGGACAGAGAGAATCAAAATGCAACTCACCGGGCTCTTGTTAAATGAAGCAGGGGCCAAGAATCAGTGCTTGTTTTTATTTTTGCCAACACAGCATGGGTGGCCTAACACCACTTCATTCCCCTCCATGCAAAATGACTGCATGTGATCAGGAGTGGGGCTGAACAAATACAACGGGAACTACTGAATTTAGAACACAAACAAGCAGAGATGCAGAGAATCCCCAAAACCACAGCCAACTGGTCAGCCTTGCTTAGTATAGCAGCATAAAGGGTATATTCAAATATGAAATGGATTCAAGCAACCGTCTCTGCGGATTACTTTCCTCACAGAATTTAGTGCTGATGGAGTATTCAAAGGCAAAGTGAGGTATAAAGAGCAAGTAACAGAATCAAACTCTCCACAGTTGGGTGTGCTCTGGTGTACGTATCAAAGGCAGCAGTTCTGCTCCTCAGCACGTATCTCACATTTTGCATGGTGCTGCCGCTGCTTCTGAAGCGCCTGTAGCTGTGGCCACGTAACGCACATGATGCACCCTCATCACCTCGCTGCTCACTTTTTTGCCCATGCTCAAGGCCGCACAGATGGCACTGTTTCCCCAGACCACACTCTGTTCACAGCATGTGAGGATTCCTGAGTACTGAAGCACTACGGGAAACAAATGCTTCATCTGGTTGGGCCGTCCGTGAGCAGCGAGTCCAGGCACCAAGTGCTGAGCAAGTGAAGATGAATTTGCAATCACACATACACACAAAGAGTTGCAGGGGCAGCGTAGCACGCTGGGTCTCACCTTCATTAACCAGGTACCGTGCATAGATAAGGAGCCAGTGGCGATATTCGTGACTGGATTGTAACGTAAGCGCTGCTGCTATCTGATTCTCCAGGTATGCAAGCGTTGTTTCTTGCTGCACTAAATGAGGCATGGAGAACAATCTGGCAGCTTGCCTTCCTGAACTACAAACCAAAGAAAATTTAACATGGCACCATAATATCAGATGCTACTTTAAGACAAAATTCTTCTTGTAACACAGTTCTGCACTTCACTTCCAGAGGCACCTAGTGCTTTCAGGGTTCCAGCCCAGAGTGACAAAGGCAGAGCTTCACTGCAAACTGCCTTACCCTCCACTGCTATAATTACAGGCGTCACTAATTGCTAATTAAGGTATTATATGCACAGAATCATCAAATACTTCACCCATTCAATAAAGAGGAGACTCAAACAAAAATGTTAATTTTGGAGTATGCTTTCCTGCCCCCCGAATAACCTCAGAGCAGCACTGCAGCACAGACTGCAGGTGTGCAAAGAACACAAACGCTCCAGGAGCTACTGATACATATCAGTGCAATCAGCGTCTCAGGAACATCTCACTGATTCAGGCACGTGCTCAACTAACGGGAAGAAAAGGACAAACATGCTGGTGAAATGAAGCAAAGAAGGCATACTTCGATGTTCGTCCCTGTATTACAGCTAAGGGCCCAGAACACAACATGGCTTCTTGGGATGGTAAACTACTCCTGAAGTCCGCGCATTGCGCCAAGGAGTCCTGTTTGTCAGAAACAAGATTCCTGGAAAAGAGAAACAGAGTAGAGACAAGTTTGAAGAGGGCAAGCAGTGATACCAGCTGATGCAGCTTTGTTCCGCCTCAAAGCCCGACTCGCAGGCTCACGGATTACCAGAAGTGTATCACAGAGATGCTCCGCAGTTGGACGCTGAGTCGGAACAGCTGTGGTCTGTGCAAATTCCACTTGTCCTCTCATGGAAACATCCCTCCCACCCCCAGAGTTGACAGGGCTGATCATTTAGTACAGTGCATTTATTTTGAAAAGCACAAGGAAATCCACTGTCTGGCATTTTAGAGCACACACGACGGCACACCCATAACGAAGACTGGGGCAAAGGCACGAAGTAACGACTTTCACACTGTGCGTTTGGTTTGAGGGAGGGCCAGGTCCCCCCACCCCCTGGACAGGTCATCACAGACATTCTGACACTCTTCAGACTTTAAGCTATTCCTTCTTACCCAGGTTGCTGACAGCTACAGCTGACATTTCCACACCTAATCAAGGATATCATTTTCACTAAGTTTGAGATGCCGAGGGAATCAGTGACTCAAAACAGCGCTAAGTTTAGACCTCCAGACAGCTCAGAGGTAAATGGCACAAATATTTAAAATAAGCTTTGCTGCTTTATCATGTTTAAATTCGTACGATGACTAAAGGGATCACTCTTTCACATGTTTCCAAAGCTGTAGTACAAACAAACAAAGAGGCAGCGGGGTCAGAATTCTGCTTGGAAATCCATCCCCTGCTCCATGGTGCCTGGGAAGTTCTCCACACAATTTGTCAGTTTATCTAAACAAGTAAAGCACACTTAAGCCCCAGGGCACTGCTTTAACTTTCAAAATGTGGAGTGAAACAGTAAACCAGAACACATGCTTGGCTACGTTGTAAAGGCACACACGTAAAACCTACCATGTAGAGAGAGAAGGATTAAAGCAGTACGCCTTCCCATCAGACATGCTCATTACAGGAATGCCGTGCT